CATACTTGTACTTCACGGTGTAGAGCTTGGTGTCATGGTTGTAGTCAGTGACAGTGGCGTCCCACCACGATCCAAAGTACTCTTTACCTTTGTGATTGGGAGTTGAACAAAGGACTGTTACATCAGTGTTTAGAGGATAGAGCTGAGTGGATGCTGGGGGTTCTGGAATGTCGTTCAACGAACTCACTCCAAAGAGAGACTCCATATCTGGCGGTGAAAGCTGAGGTATCTCTTCTCTCTTTCTCTTCAGCTCCTGCCTGAGATGAGAAATGCCATTACTAAGCATGTATGTCAGGGATGGCTGATTGTTGAAGAACTGATGTTGCGCCTCAGCGTACATGAGCTGATGATTGATGTCTCCTGTCAGGTGTCCATCAAGTTCTGATGATTGATTGTCAACCTTAGAGGTTGCGTATCTGTATGAATTTGACCTGGCCTTCTTGGTCACTCTGTTATTCTTGTGTTTAAACTCTCCACAGAACAAAGAGTATCTTTCCAAGTTTCCATATCGCTCGAGAAAGTATCCTACATGCATTATAAACATGTGCATGTAGGATGAGAGCTTGTTGCCACAGTGGATGAGTGTTTGCGTTCCAAGCTTCTCAGTCATGAAACGCCATTGAAACTCCTTGACGTTTGGCTGACCCGCAGGTCGGTCTGTGATCATAAGGTTGACGAGAAAGGCAAGCTGCTCCCACATTGATCGAATCTATATTGCCATTTGKTAGTCAATAGTTGTCACATGAATGAATGAATGAATGAATGAATGAATGAATGAATGAATGAATGAATGAATGAATGAATGAATGAATGAATGAAAGGATGATACACATACAGGTTTAGTTCTTTCTGTGCCTATTGCCGTCTCCAAGAAGTTGAGCAATGGAACCCTATGCTTGAGTATTCTCTTGAACTCTTCATAGTTCACAGCACTCTTTGTGAAGCGATCCTTCAGAGTCACGTGCTCTCCATTCTTATCGGTATCACCAGTGACCAGGTGAAGCTTGGCATAGTCCTTGAGGAACTGAATGAAACTACTGGCAAGTGTGGCTCTGACCTCAGGAGACAATCTAGGGTCTTCTGTGAAGTCAAGCACCCTTTTCTTGTAGAACTTGACGACGCCCATGATAGAGTGCAGTGAATCCAATATGAACTGCAATGGGTCGATGATCAATGGAGGTATTGTGCACATCCCATGGAAGTTCTTTGCACGATTACCTTTGTGCCCTTGTCCAACTTCGCCTTGATCATATCAGCATCATGTTTGATTGACTCCAGTGTTCTGAGTGTGAACTGGTCCAGTCGAGACACATGGTTGATGGTGTCATTGGTGCAGTGACAAAGAATGCAGCGGTAGGTTGAATGAGATAGATGCATACCACACATCCCAGTGACTGTGCTCGCACAGACCAGGTCGAATCCGTAAAGGACAGTGACTCTGTAGTATACGCCATCGATCTCCATGATGTTATTGTTATCCTTTAGGATCTGCAAGTCGATGCGGAGCCCAGCCAGTGCTTCATAAAGCTTCTCTGTGGTCTCTGAGCCAGTGTATGAGAGGAACGTCACACCATCTTCTGGAGACTTGATTCTGGATAGTGACTTTCGTGGGTCGACAATCTGTGCAACTCCAATCTCTGTTGGCTTTCGATTGTTCTTATTCATCTTGGCTCCATCGAGCATAAGGTGAGTGACGAGTTCAATCGGGTTTTCTTTTGAGCTGCCTGGTGTTGGAACAGCATCAGACCTGTGTGTTACAGTCGATGGTGGTGGTAGTGGAGCAGCAACAGACGTATGAGATGTTGACGACGATTGCTGAACTGGTGGAGGAGCAATCGATGTTGGTGGTGGAGCAGCAGACGTGTGCAATGTTGACGACGATTGCTGACTTGGTGGAGGAACAATCGATGGTGGTGGTGGAGCAGTAGCGGACAAATGTGACATAGACGATTGTTGATCTGCCTGTGGTGGAATAGTCAATCATGACAAGAAGAGAGTGAGGATGGTGGGCATCCGATCATTGATGAGTGGTCCATCATCTTGAAGTATGCCGCATCAGATTCAAGTGCTCTCTTCAATGTAGACGGCAGGATATTGTAGTATCCATTTGGGATCGTTCTGAGGTCTAGTTTGTTCTTGGATATATGCTCCAACGCCAACTTTATCCTGCGCAGAGAGTAGACCCTTGTGTGAAGCCGCAATTCTCTCATCCTCTCAAGCCACTTGTCATCTGGAATCTTGGATTGTACCTTCAACTTGGCAATCTCGAGCAGAGGTATATCTGAATAAGAGAAGGATGTTGAGATTGATTAGTAAATGATCTAATCAAATGTGTTGTTGTTGTTGTTGTTGTTGTTGTTGTTGTTGTTCTTTGGTTAGCAATTCATACCCTTTCTTGCAGTTGCATTGTGTACCTTGTCAGTCGCTTTGATTCGATTCTTAAACTTGACAATCATGCACCTGTTGCATATCTCTGCCAATGACTGCTCGTTATTGATTACTTTGTGATGGTAATTGAGGTTCTGGACGTGCCGGGCCCAGTTGCTGTTGGCCACTAGATCGTGACATCCAAAGTGATCGCACAACTTGTCGCGAGCCTTGCCATCTTCTGTTCTCAGATTGGTCAATGTTGTTGTTGTTGTTGGAATGATCTTCAACTTGCCCAATTCCTCTTTGTGTTTTTTCCGAATATGTTCATATAAGTTATATGAATACCTTGTTGTTGTTGGGCATAATGAGCACTTATAATTGACGTTGTTGTCCTTCTCCTTATTATTATTATTATTAATATTATTATTGTTGTTGTTATCTACAAGCTGCTTGATGAGACCTAGTGGAAATTGTTTCGTTGAACTTGTCGAGGAACTGGAAGCAGCCAATTGAGATGGTGGTGATGGTATTACCTCCACCTCTGCTGGTATTACCTCCACCGCTGCTGGTATTACCACTGGAGTGTTCTGTTTGGTCATTGCCATCTCATTGATTATCTGAGCAATGGTGTCTTCATCGTTGTCATAGCCGTCAACGTCGTCGTCATCTAACTCGTCAGTTGCTGCTGTTGTGTTAACAATGTGTTGACAACTCTGAGACAGGTCAATCACCCTTTCATAAGGACTGTGCTGACCATGTTGTTGCAAGGTTGTACCTGTGGCTGTTATTGATCGAGGTTGGACTCTTGGAGTCGCAATGCGAATAGGTTGAGTCGACACACCTATTRATGTTTGTGATGAAGATGAAGATGAAGATGAAGATGAAGATGAAGATGAAGATGAAGATGAAGATGATTGAGATGATGACGATTGTGATGATGACGATTGTGATGATAATGATTGAGATGATGATGATTGAGATGATGACGATTGTGATTGTGTTGTTCTAGCTGGAAGTGTTCGAGATGGTACAGGTGCTGGAACAGTTGCTGGTGTTGCTCCTGGTCTATTCGAGTCAAGGTCTTGATATTGATTAGAGACTGGCCTGCCTCTCTTTTTTCCTTTGCCATAATTGAAGACAAACAACTGGTTGTTTGACATCTTAGTATTTGTATGTTGTATAATTGTTTAATTTAACAATGACAATGTTTGAATAATAAATAAATTTTTATWTGGTGTGGTGTTGATCTATAATTATAAAAGATAGATATTATTGTTACTCTTGCACAGCAGAATGCTATTACTACTATATTAAGCATCAATTGGCAAGTTATCAATCTTTCTTGTGACTAACAGGTGAAAATATTAGTCATTTCATTGCTGTCCTTCACGGATATAAACAGACAAGTTCTCACCTCCCATTGGTCAACCACACGTGGGGGTCCTTCCTTTTGCGTCATCCCAGGTACACAATAAGGTGAAGAAGCCTTGGAGGGCTTCACAGGTAACAACCAAAACCTTGGACCGATCGTCGCACTTCTTCTTCTAACAATAACTAATACCAATCAAGATTATAGTATAGAAATACTCAACATATCAAGATGAAGCGATCAATATATTATACATCACTCTTGAAGTGATTCATAGGAATTACAGTCAATGGACAGCAATGAAACAACGACCAACTACAGCTCACTTGGATCGTCGCACACCAACCAAGGACAAACATCATCCAACAACTCCTATGAACTCCAACAGACTCTTCTCATCAAGATGAAGCGATATACCACATTCTTTGCTGTTCATCGTAATCTATATCAACTCGGATCACCAACATCAACAGCTATAGTGCAACATCTTGATCGATTGTCTAACACCTACTGCTCTACTGGAACCCTGCCCCATAGTACTCTGACACTTGGCATGTTCCGAGCTCTCATACACACGAGACTGTGGACAATATTGATCATATATTTAGATATTTTAATATTTACATATTTACATATTTACACATATTCAGTTTTATCTTGGATCGCTTTCAGCCACTTCTTGTCACATTGAGAAATCGCTCGCATGAAATGGTCATCTACCTCTTGGTCTGTTGTCGAATGGATGTCTTCCATAAATTCATCTATCACTTTTGGATTGACACCATGCTTTGAACACTCGATGAACTTTTGAATACACAAGACAACCCAGAGACCGCATCGCCATCCATCATCCTGTACCAGGCATTTGTTTGTGTCTG